CCAGGAAACTTTCTATTGCTGGGCATAATTCGGAGATGGTCCGTTTTCGGTTGAGGGGGTCAAAAGACACCTTCCCTGTGAAAATAGGAATTATGCCCAGCATAGGCAAGATTCTAGAGGCGAAATGGCCAATTTTGAACGCTTTTTTGAACCTAGAAACTTTCTATTGCTGGACATAATTCGGAAATGGTCCGTTTTGGGTTGAGGGGGTCAAAAGACACCTTCCCTGTGAAAAAAGGAATTATGCCCAGCATAGGAAAGATACCGGAGGCGAAATGGCCAATTTCGAACGCTTTTTTGAACCTAGAAACTTTCTATTGCTGGGCATAATTCGGAAATGGTCCGTTTTCGGTTGAGGTGGTCAAAAGACACCTTCCCTGTGAAAATAGGAATTATATCCAGCATAGGAAAGATTGTAGAGGCGAAATGGCCAATTTTGAACGCTTTTTTGAACCTAGAAACTTTCTATTGCTGGGCATAATTCGGAAATGGTCCGTTTTGGGTTAAGGGGGTCAAAAGACACCTTCCCTGTGAAAATAGGAATTATGCCCAGCATAGGAAAGATACCGGAGGCGAAATGGCCAATTTTGAACGCCTTTTTGAACCAGGAAATTTTCTATTGCTGGGCATAATTCGGAGATGGTCCATTTTCGGTTGAGGTGGTCAAAAGACACCTTCCCTGTACAAATAGGAATTATGCCCAGCATAGGAAAGATTCTGGAGGCAAAATGGCTAATTTTGAACGCTTTTTTGAACCAGGAAATTTTCTATTGCTGGGTATAATTCGGAAATGGTCCGTTTTGGGTTAAGGGGGTCAAAAGACACCTTCCCTGTAAAAATAGTAATTATGCCCAGCATAGGAAAGATTCTGGAGGCAAAATGGCCAATTTTGAACGCTTCTTTGAAGCTGGGCTCAATTCGGAAATGGTCGGTTTCGTGTTTGGGAGGTCTTGTTAGCCTTTTTTTGATTTTTTTTTTTTTTTTGTTTTTAATAGATGTC